GATCGCCTGGATCCCAGGTCGACACTCAACCCCTGAGCCACGCCCGGCTGGGCGAGCTGTGTATTCTTATACTAATCACGATGTGCTCTGTTTCATAGCACTCACTCAATAGTGGCTGCTAATACAAGTGGTGCAGCGTATGGAGAACAGCAGAGGTTCTTGTGCAGTGAAACTCAAGAGACTCTCCTTTTAATGGAGTTTGGATGTTCACTGGATGCTGGGGGGTTGGGGTGATGAGAGGAGAGGTCAGAGAAGGGGATGGAGTAGGAATGAGGTGAGTGATGTCTCAGAGGAGGGTAGATGCTCAGCAGCACCCAGCCCATCCCTCACACAGGAATGGCGCAGAGCTGGGGGAAGGGCAGCACTGAAGCAAGCCCTTTGGCAACCTGAGTGATGACGATGTGCTTTGGGTTAACCAGAAATTTGGGGGGAAATTTCTGTAAAATGGCTGTCAGGAATAAAAATAGCTGCTGATAAAAATAGCAGGCTCTCTCCTACACAAATTAGTTTTTCTGAAAATAACAGAGGGCAGTTACTCCTTGAACATTGTGTTTCTGAACTATCACAGAAAAAATACACAGCAATTATTTGATGAGTGATTGAATAGATGTACAGGTGGAAGACAGGATGGCTGGAAGGGTGGCTGGATAGATGGCTGGACACATTTGCTGTCCACTTAATAACTAGCACCATTTATTCAAAAATATTTATTGCATATCAGCTCTATGCCAATCACTTCATTAAGTATTCCACACCATAACTGCTCTTTTAACTTTTTAAGTTTTCATCTTCTCCCCCCCCTAGAAACAGACACACATTCTCAGTTGTTTAAAAGGGGAAGGACAGAGAGGAAGAGGCTCATATATCTGCATCTCCCTTTATCTCTCTGGCAGAAAATATAGCTAAAGACATTTTCTCTTATGCAATTTCAAAACCAAATGTCACTCCCTAACTTTAAAACTTTAAATGGCTCTCCTTGCCTGTCCTATGTAACAATATCCAAATTACATGAGCTGCTCTTTTATATCCTTTTTACAGTCTGACATGCCATGATTTTTGCTTCCACTCTCTTGTGTGTGTGTGTGAAATTTTTTATGGTGGTAAAAATATAACAAAAACATTCAAACATTCATTTTAACAATTTTAAAATGTGTAATTCGGTGGCATTAATTGCATTTACAATGCTGTCCATCAGTCACTACTATTGATTAACAAAACTTTATCACTCCCAAAGAAATTTTATAACCATTAAGTTCCTATTCCTTGAGTCCCTGATATCCAATAATCTACTTTGTATTTCTATGAATTTGGCTATACTAGATATTTCATATAAGTGAAATCTTATAATATTTGCCCTTTTGTGGCTCATTTCACTTAGCATAATTTTTGCAAGATTCATCCACATTGTAAGTATCAGCATTTCATTCTTTTTAATGTTTGAGTAATATTATCATTTGTATACAGGGTGTCCCAAAAAATGTATACACACTGTAACAACTGATAGCTCAGTTTTGAAAATGAAATGTATTTTAATAAACACTGTCTTTATAATTATTCAAAGTGTGTGTATACATTTTTGGGGGACACCCTATATATACCACATTTTGTTTATACATTACCTGTGATGGACAATGAGGTTTTTTCCCCCATCTTTGGGCTATTGTGAATAATGCTACAATGGACATTAGTGTACAAGAGTGTGTTTTAGACCGTCTTCAATTCTTTTGTGTATATATCTAGAAGTGCAAATCCTGGTTTAAGTAGTGATTCAGAATATTACTTTTTAAAAAATATATGTTTTTATTGATTTTTTAGAGAGAGGACGGGAGAGGGACAGAGAGATAGAAACATGGATGAGAGAGAAACATCATGATGGGTTGCCTCCTGCGCGCCCCCTACTGGAGATGAACCCACAACCAGGGCATGTGCCTTGACCAGGAGTCCAATAACCTCTTGGTTCATGGGTGGAGGTTCACACACTGAGACACACCGGCTGGGCCAGAGTATTAATTTTGATTATAAAGTGTCAGGTTTACTTAGTTAATTTTATATGATCTCACACTATTTAATAGGAAATACCATAATGATTGTGTTTTTCAAACTGTGGGTCCTAATCTATTAGTAAGTTATGAAATAAATTTGTTTACTATGATCAGCATTAAAGAAAGAAAAGAAAGTAGAATTTAATAGAAAAACAAAATGCATTGCACCTAGTTAAGGGTATTATTTTGTGAATCTTTTGTTTCACTTATGTGTGTACACTAAAATATATATCTTACTGTGGGATGCGATCAGAAAAAAAATAGTTTGAAGCCACTGATGTAGTGGAAACAGTGAGATTTGGAATTAGCCACTACTTGGTTTGAATCTGGGCTCTTGGTGACTCTTACCAGTTATCTAACTTCTTTATGGCTCAATCCCTTCATCAAAAAAGGAGAGTAATAATATATCCTTGTTTTGTGTGCCCAGGTGTGAAAAGATTAGAGGTTACTTAAGTAGAGTGCCTAACATGTAGTCAATAAATAACAAATACAGAATTACTTCCAAACCTGCTGAAAAATAATGCTCTGCATGTAAAAACACTTCATTCTCTAGAAGGAAGACAGTAAGCGCTACTGATGACTGAACACCTCGCCCAGGCCGTTTCTCCAATTTGGTTTTGTAAGGGGACTCGAACACACAGTTCTTTCCCTTCCTTGTTCTCACATTGTATTTGTACCTATGTTATGGATTTGAGCACATTATTATACACCTGTCCTATATTTTCTAATTTCACATTTCGGCCAGTGTTACAAACGTTCAAATATCTTCTAGTGCTTAAGAAACAGTGCTGGGCACATTACAGCCTGCTGGATGAAAATCTGCGGAGCCTGGTCTGCAGCACACCTTCCCTAAAGTGTCACTTATAGAAGGGGAAGCAGACACAATCCCGATTCCTCCAGTATTTCTCACTCCATCTACTCCATGCTAAACAGGCCAGTGAGGCGCTAAGTCATGTCTCTGGGTAGTACAAGTGGAAGGTGTGAGCAGAGAAACCACTTTACCCGAGGAAAGTGGGAAATTAGATTCTAGCTCTCCCCGCCCCACTCCCATTCCCATCTGGGAGGGGCACTTACGAGCCGCGAGGACCGGCGCGGCGGCCGGCGGCGCCCTGAGCCCCAGGGGCTCGCCGGCACGCACGCTCTCCCGCCTGGAGGGCCCTTCTTCCCAGATGGATGCTCATGGTCTCGCAGACGCGCGCCGTCCCGATCGATACTGGATGGCAGACGCGCTCCCCCGAGCGCAGGCACAGGGCGGCGGAGGCGCAGCCCGGCCGCTCGGTCCCGGCGTCCCCGAGCTCGGTGGGCAGAGCACGTTAACCCATTCCCCGGCTGATGCCCGCGCGGTCGCCTCCCTGACGCCCGCTGCCCGCTGCCCCTTCCTCTCGGCCCGGCCCCGGCAGGCGGGGGCTTTTCCGTCCGGATCCCATTTGACGGCCCTGCCCGCGGGAGG